GGACTGATTATATACTTGAAATATTGCTTACTTATAATAATCAGATGGAGCACTCGGCAACAGGTTTAACTCCGAAAGAAGCAAGGAAAAAGGAGAACGAAATGAATGTTAAAGTTAAGTTGGGGATGAATGCCAAAAAAATAGAGTGTATCCAGAGATAAGTAGAGGGGACGAAGTTAAGATATTTAGGAAAAGAAAACCGAATGAAAAAGAGAGAGTAAGTAATTGGAGTAGCAATAGATATACCGTAGAAAAGATTGAAAAGAAATTAGGGCAAAATTGCTACTATATTGAGGGCATTGATAGACCGTATTTGAGGTTTGAGTTATTAAAAGTTTAATTTAAGTTGTTTATTGCTTTACGGGTAAGTTGCGTGTCGTTTTACGGGTAGGTTGTTTCTTGTTTTACGAGTGAGTTGCGTGTCGTTTTACACCAAAAACATTCAAATAATTCTAACTGGAATGGCAAATTATTCTTGTCTGAACAATGAACCATTCCAGGTTGAACCCTAAATTATTCTAGTTAGAACAACAAACCATAAACATAATCAAAATCATATTACATAAGAAGTTAGGGGAAAGAAATTATACAATGAACGGAGTATCCACTTATAATAATCAGATGAAGCAATGTGCCACTTGTTTAACACTAAAAGAAGCACGCAAAAAGGAGAATGAGATGAGGACTGACATTAAGTTAGGGATGAATGCCATGGAAAAACAGGGTATATCCGGAGATAGATAAAGGCGCAAGGCGATGAGGTTAAGATATTCAGGAAAAGAAAACTTCACGAAAGAGAAAGGGTGGGCAATAGGAGTAGCAATAGATATACTGTAGAAAAGATTGAAAAGAAATTGGGGCAAAATTACTACTGTATTGAGGGCATTGATAAACCTTTTTTGCGGTTTGAGTTATTAAATGTCTAAAGCAATTGCCGAAAATATGATGTTTCTTTGTTTGTTGTGTCTTGGCCAAAGTGGTCAGCTCCCCAAATATGCCAACACTCGAACTTGGGTCTCAAATGCTCCCAAATTCATGACAGCCCACGTAACCCCAAAAACATCTGAACCCAAGGAGCCGGTAGACAAAGAGGACGGTGTCCTGCGGGGACGGAAGAAGAGAAAGGCTGACACATGCTGACCCAGAGGAGTTGCACACGACTCAGCCGCTCCACTTCAGATGAGGCGAAGAAGAAGAAGAGGAAGAAGAAGGAGGAGAAAAAGAAGAGGCGAAGAGGCAAGGAAGAACAAGAAAGAGCCAAAAGGCAATGAAGAAGGAGGCATCAACAAGAGAGAAAACAGGAAGAAAGAGCCAAGCCACGAGGCAGGGAAAAGAAGCCAGAACGGAAAATGAGCAGGCGAGAGCTGGCGCAGTCTTTTTCCAGCATTTACACCACGAGCTGTGCTTAGGTAGCATAGATCTCCTTGCAAATCCAGTGTCCAAGGTGGCCAAGCATCGCATTGCCAGTCTGCATCCGAAATACTTCGTGGTGCCGTTTGTTCTGTTCTTCATTCCCTGCCAAACATGCCAGGCGGCACGTTCATTGGAGTTGGAGTTGGATCAGCCCGAGACTGCGAGCGCTTGAGCCGCTCAGAAACGAATGTCCGTTCTTCGTATATTTGCGCCACGCCACTGTCCGGGAACTTCTTGACGAAGCAAATGTTGAAAAGCAGGATCAACAAGCTCATGTAGCCGCCCACCTGAACTACGAAAAAAAACCTAGGAGCCCTTCTGGTTAATGGTTCCCTGTCTAGGCGCATAATGGCCCCGTTACAGTCGTTAATTCAAAATGGATGGGATAATGTTTTGAGGTTCACCACGCCTTTCCAAACAGGTCCCACACTTGTTGTTCTGTGCCCAACACGCGCACATTCATCCTGAAGGCTTCGTTAAAGTACAGCCACGTGGCACCCTTCCCGGGCACATCAGATGTGAAGCTTGAAAGAACTGGACAGTGAGATTGAAATGTTTCGCCCGATCCCATGTTCCAAGAATGCATGAATTGACTTGAAATCAGGTCCGTCGTCATCGTCTGGGAGCCAATCCTGGCGGTCTGAACCGCCATTGATACTTTCAATCTCTGAACACTGTTCTGGTTTATCCACCAGGACCACTGCCATTGAGATGCAGTCCACACATAAACTTCGCAGGAATAAGACCCTCCACAGCAAAGAGCGACGTCAAATGGCCGCCGTGGTGGCAAGTCCCATTCTGTTAAGTTGACAATGGAACATTTTCGACTGTGGCCGTTGATCTGAACATCTTTCGAAGAGAGGGCCCAGCTGTCGATAGTCGTTTTTTCATAGAAGGCAACATCCGCACCCACACCTGCGCCAGTCAGGTCTCTATCTTGCGGACTGCATATGGCCCATACTCCAGCGCCGGTCTTCCACCGCTCAAAAGTGGTCTCGGTCGGCGGATCCGCGTACATCAACTCCGAAGCCTGGTACGCCACATAAGC